GGGTGGGTTGTATCACGCTTCATGGGCTTGCAGGCAGGGGGCTCAAGGTTTCAGGGAGAAAAAAAAAGGCTGTTTAGGGTTTAGGGTTTTAGGGTTTAGGGTTTAGGGTTTAGTGTTTAGGGTTTTAGGGCTTTAGGGTTTTAGGGTTTAGGGGTTTAGGGTTTAGGGTTTGCCCCTGCAGCTTTGTGGAGTTTTGCGTGTGCTGTGCTTCGCTGTCCTGTGCTAGATAACAGCTCCGATGACTCATGCTCGTGATGTGTCCCAAAGGGCTTGGTACTGTGCTACAGAATGCGGTATGCTGGCATCCTATAGATTATTAGTTTCGCAGTCCAATATGGCATGTGCCCCAGCCAGAAAGCTTTGAAATTATAAAGCCCTGAACGCTGAAACCCTGCAGCCACAAATCTTACACCTGAACTCTTACCCTCACCCCTGAGCAGCTTTGCGTCGTCTGAGGAGAGCGGATGAACCTCCTGAGATGAACTTCGTCAAGAAGCACTACATGGATCTTTCGTCCGAACTTGTGACTTTAGAGTTAAGCTTTATCATGGTTCAACATAGACAGACGCCTTATTTCTGATTAATAGGCTGTTGGAATCTTTAGAAAAGAGTGGGGACTTAGGGAATCATGGGTGCGCATGTTGGTCTTCGCCATCAGAGGACGCGGCACGATGTTCAGACGATTGCAAGATCATGGGTTACAAGCCACCACTGCCAAATACAAGTATTAGTATCCACAAGCAGTATTCGCACTACTGAACAGCATGCAAGGTAGCTGCACGATGATTATGGCAAGACCTGCGAACCAGAAAAATGTGATGCTTTAACTTGCAGTATCGTAACCTTAAACCCTACAGTGCCCTGCAGTCCCTAAACCAAGCCTTTTGATCCAGCACCCTAAACCCTAATCCCTAAACTCTAAGCCAAACCCTGAACCAGCACCCAAAGAGACCAAACAAGCATCGAGCGCTAAGGAGCTGTTGGAGCAGGAGCAGGACAGATCCGCCGGCAATTCCACGGTTTAGGGTTTCGGGTTTGGGGCGTAAGGTTTAGGGCGTAGGGTTTAGGGTTTAGGTTGTAGGGTCAAGGGTTTCGGGCTAAGGCCTGACTCCTGGCTACGCCCTGAGTCCTTTCGGGTTGTGGGCTTGGTTCCCAATTTCTCGGAGATCCCATTTCGGCAGCTTCAACCTTTTCTTGGGGTTTCGGGTTCAAAGTCCAAGAAAGATCCCAAAGCTGTTAGATCCGTTGAGCTTTTACATACAGCGGGTTCGAAGAACCCCTATCCCTAAAGTTTCCTGACTTGCCATAACCCAGCTTTTTGCACGGTTGCAAAACAAGTCCTGAAAGATAAGGTGTACAGGCCCTACAAGAAGGTATGGCAATCTCGGGGCCTGAGTCTTTAGCATGGCCCTTGTACAAGTATACGATAACAAAACCCTAGTCCAGTTATCAAGGCCCACATAGCAAACATCCTATAAACTCTCCTTCTTATCAATCACCATACTACCTTTTGAAACTTTATTATCCAACTCATGGAGACTACCCGGTTTTAGTTTACGAGAACCCTGAATCCTAAGCCATAATTTCTAAACTCGAAACCTTAAACCTTAGACCCTAGTTTCTAAACTCTAAACTTGACCCTAAAGCCTAAACCCTCGTTTCTAAACTCTAAGCCTTAAAGCCCTAAAGCCCTAAAGCCCGAAAGCCCTCAACCCCTAAAGCCCTAAAGCCCTAAAGCCCTAAACCCTACTCTCTCAGCCCTAAAGCCCTAAACCCCTCAACCCCTAAAGCCCTAAAGCCCTAAAGCCCTATTCTCTAAGGGCGCCCCTGCCCAGTCTGCGAGGACGAGGAGGCCGCGGCCTCGCGGATTTTTTCCAACGCCGCCGGGGAGTTCGGCTCTTTAGTGCGCCTTTGGTGTGAAGAGGTAGGGTTTAGGGTTTAGGGTTCAGGGTTTAGGGTTTAGGAGTTTACGGTTTAGGAGTTTAGGGTTTAGGAGTTTAGAGTTTTG